ACGTTCCTCCCGCCATTTCTCTATTGACTCTGACTCTTTACATCAATTTAAGGTTTTTATATAGCAGTAATCATTGCAACTTGACAGAGCACCATAGCACCTAACCCATTTTGGGAATGATAAGGTTTGACTGAGCCCAAGCCTGCAGGAAAAACAGAGTATGAGATTCATATAATTAAAGACTGTGTCACGATGCTTAATGGATCTGAATTCAGACTGTTCAGAGAACCCGAATTCTGTGTTTTGCAATCCCCCAAGTACTTGACTTTGAAACTGTCACATTCTTTCAGTGTAGTATTCTGGATTTAACACCTATAAATAACATATGGAAATTAAAGTAGTCAATCCAAACACATTTTACAAATTTTTAAAATTTTTTATAACTATTTGAAGTGCAAATAAATCCCATAATAAGTTTGCTTTTGAGCGGCCTATTGAAAGACTACATAATTATCCGAGTTCAATTATTACAATGATCAAGACACTGAAGGTAACCCAGCTCCATTTTCAAGTAAGATTGATCTGCAAAAGGATTGTTAGAGACACCCAGGCTATTTCAAAGGAAATTTTCCAACTACACAGGCTGTAACTGTCCAGAGAATAACTGTCTGGGAATAAAAATCTGAGCAGCATCTTAGATCACACTCAGAGTTATAGTGAGTTTAAGAATTAATCTGTATTTCACAGGTGACTTGCATCAATAATCAAATACCATTCAGGTTGTTTAACAATTTAATACAAACTTACAGCTCTTTTTTATCTGTAGTGAACAGCACAACCTTTTAAAATGTTAGCTGAGATTAGAAAATAGAAAGAAATAAAGAAAGGGTAATGTTAAAAAGAACGTAATTTTCATTACGGGTTACCAATGTAATTTAAATTGCCTACCTGGGTGAGCAAATATATGCGTAACATACAGAAATGAAATTTAAACAACAAAGTTGATGAGGAGTGAGTTGAGGGTGTTTTCAGGTACAGCTTACAAGATACTTGCTTAAAGTAGAAGCTTCAGCTGTGGCATCAGTTGTTGAAACACTTACAGAAACAAACTTTATCATGATGACACTAAATTGGGAAAAGAGGATGCAGAGGAAAGATGCTCAAGAATGAGCTTGTAAAAGCCCATTATTTTCTTTCTAGATCTGTTTCTTATACTGCACTCATCACTGTGGTATCTTGAGTGCTTTCCAGTAGTGCATTAAGCAACATGACGAACATCTGTCACATGTTTGTTCTCTCACCCTCTCCCCAGAGAGACAAGTGTGTGCAGTGGAGTGTCTTGTTTTAATTTTTTTTTAATTATTATAAATACACATGCACGTAACACATTATTAAGCATTCATGCTAGAGAGGAAAGGTCAGACAAATTTATCTTGCTCTTTGGATTAAAGCTGGTGAGCTCTGTGATGTTCCTGTAGGAGTTTCTATCACACCCTCGCCCCAGATTGTGATGTCTTCACAGGTACCAAATCAGTCTGGTCATGGGTGTCTGCAGTAGGCAGAAACCAAAAGTATGGATTCCCCATACCCTCATTTACTGTTCACACTTAAGTCCAGGGATTTCATCAAGAAAGATCAAATGGAATGAGATGGTAGGATTTAAGGAAAAACACGTGCTTTATATAACCGCGATCTCATCCCAGTATTACTGCATTTGATACAGACTAAAAGCAGAAATTGATGCAGCTTCCAGATCACTGTCACAGAATCAGAGGGTACTGTGCAAGTTAGGAATCTAATGGATTGGAAAAGCCTGATTTAAACTGGAAAAAGAAGTTCTTTGAATGATGGAATGAAGACCTAGGAGTTACTGATTTCCACACAGAGGGAACATACCTGGGAAAACAATCTGGAAGCTTCAGATCAGTCAAAGACTAAACAACTGCAGATAGACAGCCTACCCATTCAAGAACCATGAACACATGAGTGGGAATCCCAGATCAATATTGGCACCACCGGTGTAATATTATGGTACTTCATGTGGGGAGAGAACCGTATGTGTGTATTGGTAGATACCTACTTGTGCCACCTCAGAGAAAAATGGAACTGATCTGCCTCATCCCAAGGAGACCTCCAGCATCGATATTGCTTCGTTCCTATGACTTCCACTCCTCTATTGCTCCAATAACTCTCAGGACAGTTAGAAAAAAGACTGTTTCTCTAATGGAGGATGATGCAGGTCACATTGAGTGCCAAGAAGCTGAAGACTTCTCTTTGGGCCTCACTCACCAAAAGCATAGATGCAGAGGTCTGTGCAGCAACATCACGTTGCAAAATCCACCAGTGCTTCTTTCTGAACTCCACAAGGGCTGGGCTGCTTCTGGTATCACACCAATACAATTCACATTTGGCACCGCTTTCAGCACTGAAATCTTCCACTCACTTCCTCACCCTTGTATCAGTCACAACAGTAGACATATCTGTAATTATTGCAATACTAGAGATTTCAGAACTGAATGTTCCAGCACTGAAACCTTTCTAGCTGCCTGTTGTTCTTCTCCCACAGTATTTTCCTTGAAGCACTTGAGACATGATCTTCAGGCCATCAGCCTTCCTCTAACATTACTGATTTCTTTGCACAGATGTGAGCAGAACTGCTCCAAGCATGGCAACCTACTACCCTTCCCCAGTGAAGGCTACAGGCTGCTCTCCTGTCCAACTTCGCTCCCCACCTTCGACAGTTCAGTAAAGTTCACAAAAACAAAACAAAAAAAGAGGATTGGAGTTTTCAAAGAATTCCCATCAATACTTCATTCCATGTATCTGTTTCCCTAGCTTGCCTAGGACTCGCATCTCAACAAAAGCCATCCAGCAAAACCAGCCAAAATAGCAAAAAGTACCATGATGATGCAGAGTAACACCACCAATAAAGCTCTTCTGAAGTCCACCAAGAATATGCCACATACCAACATGCAGTTTCATGGCATGTAGAAGACAGACAGGACATACAGCCACAGCTAATATGCAACCCAGTTCAGGATCCTAACTTGAGTAAGAAGCTTAGGAGAGCTCTAAAGGATTCCTTGAAACAAGTCTCAAGAAAAGGTTGTTCTTATAAACACAGATCTTTGTGGCCGTAACATTGAATCTTCCAAGAGTTTCCAAATGGGGAGTCAGCTAGCAGTCAAACAGTACTTTTGAGTAATTGTTTTTCTTTCAAACTGAACTTACCATTGGAAAAAATCAAAGACCTTGAGTGCATAAGTCAATCTAGTTTGCTTCATTTTAGCCGGTGTAGCTTATTATTCCATATAAATTAAGCTAATGAGAAATCAAGCCATGGATGCAAATGGCAACATAAGGACTTAATGCATTTTAACTAATCCATCTTAAAAGGTAACTCATGTTAAGTTTACTCATATATGAAGTTCCTAAAGATCAAATAAACTTTCTTTGTTCCAGTACACTCTGCAACAAAAAGGATTTGAACTGTGTGAGCAGTATAGCCATTTTATTTTCAATTTTTGTAGAAACTAGGAGTACACACAAAACCCAGTGAAGTCTCTGCAAAGACTTGCATTGAACTCCACCATGCTTTGGCTCAAGCATTTAATGATGTGTCAGGTTGGTATGAGGCAGCCAGCTATAGTCCCTGAAAGTCTTTACACCTGAGAATGTGCGAGAATGTGCTTTTCAGCTGTCAGTACAGAACAATGCAGTCAGCAAGTGCTGCATCAACACAGCAGCTTTAGGACTGATATTATGCAGAAATGCAAAGAGCAGGCTAACATAAAAGGACTCTATTTTTCCTGTCAGATAAAGAGAAGATATATGTAAAATATTTGGACATTTGGGGAAAAGGCAAACACTGAGAATTAATTCAAACTGTTGATGGTTTATTTTTTATTGAATCTTGTGGTCAAAATTGTTTTCATTTGCTATGAGAAAGAATCCATCATTTTTTCCAAAGCACCACCCAGAATCTGCCACTGGTGATGTTCTAACGTCCCCAGTGCCTATACAAATAGAGAGGTCAGCTGAGATTTGTAAACTAGAGATCATAAGTTTTAAGGAATTTGTTTATTCAGCCTAGAGTCTCCAAATTGTGTACAATGCCAAAATTAAAAAGTCCTTTCACTGTACTGTGTCAGGTTACAAAAAAAAAGCTCTCCAAACATTTGGGACGTTCAGATGAGAAAGCAAATTGTAATTCCATTTTAAGCAACCTATTTGTCAGCACATGCAGTTTAATTATAATTAAGTACCTCCAGCAGTTATAATGAATAGGCAAAATCAAAATGTTGGGTTTATGCTTGTATAAACCTGCAGTTAGTGTGAACTAAAAGCTGCCTGAATTACTCTGAAAAGTATCGGTCTAGTATTTGCATTTTTAGCTGTACTGTTCAAATACAAACATACGTAAACTGTTTCCAAAGACTTTAGCAGATTGACTGAATTAGGGGAATTTTCATGGGAATGACAAGAGGCAGATCTCTTCCTGATGAGAAGGCCACCACACACCAAGTTCCAAGTCCCTGTCCAAAGTATGGAGCACGGGAACCATGCAAAAGAGATCACCAGTCTTTTTAGTGTTAGCAAAACAACATATTTCTAACTCATCTCATTCTTGACAAAGGGCTGAACTACATCTGCTGAAATTTTCCAGAGTAATTCAGCATGCAACAAACAACCAGCATGGGAAAAAAACAAAACCAAGTCAAATGATTGAAATACAATAAAAATATGATAAAGTTTACAGAAAGTTTTATAGGTACAAACAAAATATTAATGGTGTTTGACAAATAAAAGATTCTGATTGTTTAAAATAACCATATCTGAAAATATGTCCAAATGCAATATATCAGAATTAAAAGCTATTAGAAATCCAGTAACATTTCATATCCTGCAAATGGAATAAGCATTGAGGTGACATCTTTGGAGCATATTTGAACTTTGCTGCCTTCACTTATAGGTAGCTTGAAGATGGGTAAAGCATTTCAACAGGCTAAATATTTTAAGTAAACTTTATGACTAATATTGCATTTGCTTTTTTTATAAAGATATAGATGAATGTGCGACTGGAACCCATAATTGTAGAGCTGACCAAGTATGTGTCAATTTAAGAGGGTCCTTCAGCTGCCAGTGTCCTCCAGGCTATCAGAAACGAGGGGAACAATGTGTTGGTAAGTGTTGCTCTAGACTAAATTATTTTCTTTCATTATCTACAGTTGCAAACTTTATATTGATTATAAAAGTGTATAGGTATATGTACTGTAAAATAGCTATAAAACTTTGAAATGCAATGGAATAATCACTTTATCACAATAATTAATCACTGAAACATGGAACTAGATGCTATTTTAAGTATAATCAACACTTGGAGTTGAACTTCACAAGATTAATTTTCCTAAGAGTTACCATTGTATTTATTGTTTGTATTGGGGTATTGCCTAATGTCCCAGATACAGTCATAAGTCTACTATAGCAGCAAACTAAAGCATATCTTTCCACTGACCTCAGTGAGACTCGACTCCAGATCTGTAGGACAAAGCACTACCTTCACACAGACCTAATCCCTGCTCTGCAGAGCCCCCTTGCACAGTCTGTTTCAGTACTCAGTTTTACGAGTATAAATAAGAGATGGAAACTCTGAATGCAGGTATGTGATATTTGCAACTTATAAACCACTACCCTTTATTCTTTGTGCCAAAATAAACTATCAGCACCCTTGGGGACCTATTCAAATATAGCATTAAATTAAATCCAAGTGCAGTGTAAACACTGCATCTTTCCTACTCCATCCTCATTTGGGGACGTTATGCAGAAGTGCCATGACTCTATTCCTGCAGTCCTCCTTCAGCCTTTAACACCTCTTTAATCGTGATTTCAATGGATTAATTGCTTTTATAGGCACTCCAGCCTTAAGCCTTAGGTTTGTCAGAGATGATAAAAACAACTATGAAATAAGAGAACCAAATATATACATCATGAGGTGATATAAGAGGTGGTCTTGAATAAGACACAAGACTGGTTTTATGCAGCCTAGGAGAAAAGCTTTTTTTTCCTGTCCTCAGCAGAACAGGAACAACAGAACTTCAGGTTTTCCTCTTTTTCTTTGTGTTGGGGATCCTGCATTTGAAAGCATTTAGGAAATTTATTTTTAATCTCTTTCAAAAAGCCTTGCAAAGGTAGGTAGTCACTGCCTAACAAGAGCTGCAGGAAGGAACCTGGGGAAATTTCTAGACTAACTTAAATTTCTGGGCATGGCTCTTTCTTTAGGGTTCTGAGCCAAGGGCTGTAGAAATCAACCCAAAAATTCTTCTCTTTCCCAAAAGATGTGGATCAGGCCCTGAACTGACAAATAGATACAAACACAGATGCATCTGATTTTTCTCAGTTCTCTGTGCAAGAGTAGGATGAGTAGTTTGGAATGTAGGTAGAAGAATAGTTTTCACTGGTCATTGACTTTTTTTTTTTTAAATATCTTGGGTTTATCTAGATTTTTTTAAGAGCAGGTAAAGTATATTACTGCTATGCAATAGCACTTCTAATGTTACAACCCATGGTACTACCTGAAAGTCTCGCGGGACATACATGACAGCACTCGAAAAGAAGCAGAATGATATACCCTTATATCTACGTATGAATACATTTATGCATCTAAATCTATACATGAAGATGTCTGGAAAGTGAAATTTCCCTTCTCCTATTTAGGTCAAAACCAAGGAATAACACCTGCGTTACATATTACACACTGACCTAAATTATAAGTACATCCCTACAGTTAGTACTGTCAGCATTTCAGTATAAAGCCTGTCTTTAGGGATTTTATAACAACTTAGCCAGAAAATGTTCTTGGGGCCAGATCTTGATAGAGGTTCTCCATATGGGAGGAAATGTTTCTCAAATTTGAAAGAAATTTTTCCAGACTATTTTGGCTTCAAAGTAGAGGGAGAAAAGACTAATTTCTAACAATTGATTGATTTTAATCTAAATTCACTAATCATTTCTGTCTTTTTTTTGAGATTTTTTTTAAATTTGGGTGTTCACATATTGGAAAATTAGTCTTTTCTGAAACACAGGACTGCAGATAAAATGAATTGTTTTCCAGCATTACTTCACACAGAAGATTTGGCCGAATTGATCAGATAATGCTTAGCCCTTAGGTCTCATGGAGCTGATGTGCCTAATCCCGCAAGGAAAACTCCCGCTGAATTAGTCAGATCCTGGAAGCATTTATGTACATAAATGCAGTGCCCAAGCAGCAAAGCATTGCTCATATGTCTATATTGTATAATCAGATCTTTAAACGGCAGTTTGTAAGAGCTTAGTCCTGTAAAAGTCAAGGATGGAAGAGATCTACTGTGCCTGCTAATTTATTCCATTTCTCCTTCCAAATTTCTCTCTGCAACAAAAGAGTTACAGCGACAATCGCTACTGTACAGATAGCCAGGAATTTTCCAGCATAAGCCTTTTCATTCAGAACCATCCAAAACACTCCACTGCTAAGTTTAGCCCCAAACAGTGACTGCAAATTTGACAAAGCAAGGGTTAACTTCTAAAGATTATTTTTTCACTTGATATTAAAACAAACACTTTCCTCATTATAAAAAAGTCTTGGCCTCTTTTTAAACACATCTATGGTGGAAACAGCTGGAGGTAGGAAACTCAAGATCTGGCATGGATATGGGAAGTGCCTGCCTTTGTTCCAGTGAAAACTGGTCTTATTTGTCTGAGCATTGAGCCTTTGAAATCTCACATTGTGTACATGCACAGAACACGGCATGGCTTTCTTCACCAAGCTCAAGCAGGCCACAACTAAAGACGGCTGCTGCACATATATGCACGATCAGCATTGTGGCATAATAAAAAAAAATGTTTTTCAGACAAAAACAGAGGCAGTGTCTTCTCCAGAATGCAAGGAAACCTTTTAAAAATGCAGAAAGGTAAAAGAACGGGCTGTTGCACATTTTGTATGGTTCGCAGGTGAAAACCCTGCTCCAATGCACATTAGGAATGCTGAAACTTGGAAAGGCAGCCTGCTCCACCTCAAAACCAGGGCTAATCTGCAAGGAGAGTCTGTGGAAGGTTAATACTGCCTGAGATAGCACCAACTTCAGCCAGTCTGATCGCCTTCCTTGGCACCAGAGAGCGCAGCCAGAAGGTGCTAGTGCTGCTGTATGGAAAGGTATGCAGGAGAGGCAGGGAGGGGAATGGGAGCAATGGCAGCCCCTTGGTGGAGCAAGCCAGTTTCTGGGGGATCCCTGCAGAAGCACAGCCACCTGTTTCCTTTTCAGGCCCATTAATCTTCTATCCTCACCATTCCCACGTACCTGTGCAGAAAATTTGGACTCGTCCTAATGGAGCTGAAAAGATTTAGTACATGCTAAGAGTGCTGCATGCGAATTTTTGGAAACACAAGAGCTACAAGCCACATTCACTGTGTTGGTCAGCTTTATGTCTGATAATGAGAAATCTTGGTTGAAAAGCAGAATAAAACATTCTAGGTCTTGCTTATACAAAATAAACATAAGCAGTACTGTGGAACTAAATAAAAAATAAAGTTGGAATGTGTATTGATTTCAGTGGCTGGAAGACAATCAGCATAAACCAGATTTTTAAAAAAGTTACTTAAAGTAAAATAGTATTCCTGTTAACATCCGTAGACGCACTACCTAGCTCACATAAGCTTTTTTCCCCTGCTTTTAATCAAGTGCCATTACCTTCAGTTTCTTTGGACACAAGACAGCAACAGTGAATTGCCGTGATTCCATTTGAACTAATTTCTCTTTTTTGATAACTCAGACATCGACGAATGCACCCTGCCTCCGTATTGCCACCACCGATGCGTGAATACTCCTGGTTCCTATTATTGCCAGTGCAATGCCGGTTTCCAGTTAGCATCCAACAACCACACCTGTGTAGGTAAGAACTTCTCTGCATGTACTTACACATGAGCTCACTCAGTATAGAGACAAATACTGATACGTGACTTGCCATGGTTGAAATTTAAGTATCTTCATCCCAGCTTAGAGGAAATAAATACCAACCAGTAAGACATACCAGTTGCTGTATTGAGATGTTCTCCTGCAAGTGATCCAAGAAGTACAGGAGGGTTAGAGAGAAAATTGGAGCCTGATTCAAAACCTGTTGTTTTGCTGGCATAGCAGGTTTCTGAGGAGCATCTAGTTTGGCAACTGGAACCCTGGAGGTTTGTATTCATTATTTAATCTTAGATTTAATTATTCTTTCAGTTCTGGCAGATCGCTTTGCATTATCATTGGCTTTCATGATATTATTCCCAGTTCATGCAACACAAAGGCTGGAACTGGAAACCAGGAGAAGCAGTACTATACCTCTGCAGTTCAGTGTAATTATCTTCAGCACATGATAAACATAGTGAGGAAAGAAAGCATCTATAAAAGTCACATTTTAATATCTAGAAAATAATGTTAAAAATGAAAACAAGGGTCACTAAGGAAGAGTGACCCTTTAGAAGTGATCCTCCCTTTAGAAGTAAAACACTAAGGGAAGCCTTGCAGTAGAACTTTAAGACCGCTGTTAAGTTTGAAATCATAAGTTCTGTTCTTTAAGAATTAGAGTAATAATAAAAAGGTAACTATGTCTGCTGAAGTGCAGAGAGAATGGCCATAAAGAAAAAAGCAAGAGATTGGTGATGGAGATGATCAGAAGTTGTTTATGACTATTTTTAT